TAGGTGGACCAAGCACAGCTATTATTCTTACATCAGAAATACTTATTTGATGGAGACTGAGGCTGTTTGGGCGTTTCTGAATTGGATGGTTGTATGTTTTCAACACGGACGTGCTCTGCCTGGAGAGCTCTGCAGGGCTTGGGTGGACCAAGCACAGCCATTATTCTTACATCAGAAATACTTATTTGATGGAGACTGAGGCGTGTTTCTGAATTGGATGGTTGTATGTTTTCAACACGGACGTGCTCTGCCTGCAGCCCTGTGGTTTTCAATGGTTATCTCAAGCCATCCCACCTCAAGATAGATCCGTACGTAGCTAAGAAACAGCTGCAGAAAATACTCATCTTTTGAGTCTCTTTTGCATGTTTCCCCCACCTGCAGTGTGGGGTGTGTTCCCCAAAAGTGAGTTTCCCACAAGTGTGTGCTTTAACCACCTGCAGTTTTTCCATCAGAGCCCTGACTACCGCTTAAGTCCAATCCCCTTCTCCAATATCTGCAATAAAAGTAATTTCCCATTTTAGTGCTAGATGAGCTCTCATTTAAGGGAGTCGTGGAAGAAACCCAGTATTTTCCCTACTCAAATGACTTCTTTCAGGTACCAGCTCTTACGAGCCCCGGGACGTGCAGCAGCCTGCACACCCCTTCCTGTTGTGCAACCACTGAGCTGCTGCCGTGGTTCAGCTGAAGAACGTATTCACACCACCTCAAGAGGTTCTTCACTGCTCTTAGAGCACTTTTCATTGTACTGAAAGATAAAAAAGTTAACACTTTATAATTAGTCACAACAATTTTTTTCAAGGCAGCTTTACAAACTTTTTTGGCTATGCAGGAATACTAGGTTCTTCCAGAAATTGGTTTTACCATCTGCCTCCCCAGTTTCATTGAGAACACTCAAAAAGGCACAGAAACCTTCCACACTTACTCGTTTTTTCCAAGCTCTCCCCTTTTAAAAACAAAAGAGACAACAGAGCGTATTTTTCTGTATTGTTATCATTAAGATACCTGACAACAAACCTGCACTTACCTGCTCCACCCAGTTGTGTTCACTCTCTCATCTTTCATCTTCCAGCTCTTTAGTAAATAGCTCCATGGCAGGCAATTATAAACAAAAAACCTTCACAGCAGCCTCTTCAGCCTCCACAACCTGAGCAGTAACTTCAACATGAAAGAGTTTACACCCTTCCCCCACAGGCTTTGAAAGAAGCAGTTGGTCAGGGACATTTCAACTCTCCCCCTTCTTCCACGGGGACTGCAGACAACTACATTTTATAGCTGAGATAATTAAGAAAATGGAACTTTAAAACAAAACTTACATGTGAGGGCTAGGGTAGGCTGCATCAATCACCCTTAGAAAACACGTTCCACTCCCCGTTTGAGTGCACGTGAAAATCTTGTCATCCAGCTAATTTGCATAGTAGGAATTACGTGAGGCCTGATAATTTGCCAGAACTGAGATAACCCCAACATCCTGCCAGTTGTCCATACTGCACTGACAAGATGTTGACAACATGACAAAACATCACACACCTTAAAAACTGTTATCATGTAACGTATTTGTACGATTAATCTTGTGAATCTGTGTATTTTTCATGCAAACTGTAGAGCTCATTTTGGTGTACTCAATTCAGAGTATCACACATTCCCCTCATCATCCACATCCCTCCTGCAGGGTCTTCCACTGCTTCTCCTGGTCTTCAGGACACCGGGTGGGTGGTTGCTTACCTGAGTCCACCGTGTGACCAAAATCACTTCAGTAACAAAGACAACCCCCAGTTCCTGCAGTGCAAATGTGGGCACAGCAGTCTGAGCACACACAAACCCATCAGCTTCCCAGGCTCAGGACCACACACACACTGGATTAAGTTTTCATTAACAGCATTAAAACAGAGCACACCCACAAATTTAAAACCTGCCAAAGGCAAGCCTTCAATTCTATCATCATCTTAAATCTTTTTGTATGAAATGCTGAGACAATGCTTATTTCTGCAATAGGACCGTAAGTTTCTTGGGGATCTTGCAATTAAGGCCTGTTGGCTCAGAAGAGACCTGGTCATTAGCTCTTTCAGGTGAACAGGATCCAGTTTGAGATGTGTAACACAAACTTCATCATTAACATTTCTGAGAAAGTGAACTATTACAGACAGCAGAAAAGTGTATTACTTGTCTCCTGCATTAGGCCTTCACTTGGGTAGTTTCTGAGGTCAACTCCTTTTTTCTACATTTCCGTCTCCTACAGCAACTCTTTGCTGAGCCATCAGTGGCATCTACATCTTCAGACAAAGAAACATGGTATGAACAACATAATAAAATTATCTGTGAAGCAGGATGCATCTTTGTCTCCTTGGAGCAGCAGCACTGATGCAAGGGGAGGAAGAGATGGAATCAATGCAAGTGAAACCAATTGTTTCTAAACGGGTTTAAATAACAAAGCATACTGTCACCGGGTCAACAGGCTTATCTTGGATAAAGATTTCACATACATGTTTTCTGCCAGTTATAGAAAAGACAAAAAGTCCCTCCCAGTGATCCCACTGCAATACTTACCATCATCATCTGGCATCAGCTGCACAGATACAAGCATAGGCTTAAAGTCTACAGTGGGCAACTGTTGTGACAGAAGTCACCATGTCACTGCCCCTTTTTTGCCCACAGCACACCTAATTTAAAGGTATCTGCATAGAGATGAATCAGAAGAGACATAAAGGGGCTGTAATTCAGAATTACTCAGATGTACGCAATTATTACTGAAAGTTACAGCAGCAACAGAGCATTATGCCCCCTCCACTCCTTTTCTTCAGCGATGAATACGGCAAAACTGGACAAGCTGGGGGTGAGGAGAAGCACCTCCTGTCCCAGGACATTGGGCATTTTACAGGAAGACAAGCAACTTGTTCAGATTCTCTAACTGCAGTGAGCTGGATTTAAAGAGACGGAAGAATGGCACGCATTGCTGTAACACCAACAAATCTTGAAAGGCTGAAAAGTTCAGATCAAGTAACCACAGCACTGAACATCTCACGACACCCTTCCTCCATCATTCAAGTGTATCCTGGGGTGCACAGACTACTGTACCTGCGCAGTTACTGTGAGGCAATATCCTGAGCAAATGCATTGTACTTACCTCCAGGAGGAGCCAAAGTATGAAATAAAACCTTGTAGCCCCATTTTTCCTGAGCTATACCGCTACCATACTTGGATAATCAAGATTTCCAGCAAACCTGCAAAACTCTTCATAACTCCTTGCAGTGGAGTATCTTCTTGAAATAATAAAACACTTTATTTCACAGGAAAGAGCTGTAACTAGAAACGGTGTTATTTCACAAACCGTGCAGTAAATTTGAGCATCCTCCCTCCCAGTTTTAAGCAAAGATCTTCCACGTGTTATTTCGGGGAACTCCAGTCCTCTAAAACCTAACAGAGATTTAACTGATCTCCCACTTGGTGACCAGATCATTCCCCACTTCCCAACACAGAGACTAGCACAGGCAGGGATGGTGTTCAGTAGAAGCAAGCCTACAACCTGCTGCTCAAAATCCAGCCTACCTCCTACAAGCCAGCCAGAGGGTATGCTTAACCTCAGACAGCACCTTCTCAGCTGGCTAAGCCATGCCAACACCAGACAGCAAGAACAGGTAAGAAAGCAAGGAAGCAAGTTAGCCTGGCTGCTCCCATACCATGCTGAGAGGTTTTACACCACCTCATCCATTCTCTCAGATTTTTCAAGGTTGATTTATGTCTCCATGGACATACTGAGGAACAGCTGCCTTCAGGAGGAAACAAAGCTCCTCCTGCTGGTGACACCAAAGCCACTTATTTATAACACCCAAACGCTAGGACTGCAATTATCAGACAAACCACAGCCCTTAACAGAGCCCCAAATCAGCAAGCACAGGCTGTCACCAGGTGTGTGACAAGGACACGTCCCAGCCTGCTCCCTGCTGAGGGCCTCCCCCACCACGGCCAAGCCGAGAGCTCAACCTTGCTCTTTAAACATGAAGCCTGTCCTTCATCCCAGGCAGGGGCCCAAACCCCCGGCTCCTCCTCCACACTGAGCTCTCCTCTCCCCGCAAGGTTAAAGGAGCACAACCCCGAGGGCCTCCCCGGCTCCCTGTACCACACACGGCGGCCTTTCTCTCTCAAACGAGCACCGTCCCGGCCCCGACACGCACCGCAGCCGCCTGCCCTCAGCACCGTGACCATAGAATCATAGAATTGCCCAGGCCGGAAGGGACCTCCAAAGGTCATCTAGTCCGACCTCCCCGCAGTCAGCAGGGACACCCCCAACTAGACCAGGTTGCCCAGGGCCTCATCGAGCCTCACCTTGAATATCTCCAGGGATGGGGCCTCAACCTGCCCTCAAGCCGCCCTCCATCCTGCCCTCAGCACCGTGACCAGCCGCCCCTTTCAACCGCCCCCTCCGCCCCCCATTCCTTCCAAAAACCCCACCGCGCCTCCCACCCGCCCCATGGCTTCGACGCCAACGGCTCACACCGGGGGCCGAGTCCCGGGAACGGGCTCCCCCACAGAGAGGCCCTGCCCTACCAAGAGCCGGCGGGCGCCGAGGAGCGACCAGCCGCTGCGCGACGTCCTTCGAGGGCCCTCCGCAACCCGCCGCGTCCCCTTCAGCCTCCCCCTTCCCTCCCGCAAGCTCTTCCCACCACCCTGAGCCAACAACTGCCTCCCGTCCTTCCCCTTTTCCGACATCTTAACCCGGCTGCCCGGCCGCTCCTCCAGAGCCCAAAGCATCCCACGCCATCAACATGGCCGCCACCACCGCCGCCTTCCCCCCTCCCCACTGCGGCGGCGCGGCGCGGGGCCTGCCGGGAAATCGAGTCCCACCCCCCTTCGCTGTCTTTCGGCGACTCCCGTCGGGAGACTACAGCCCCCAGAATCCCTCCGCGGCATACCGGCGCCAGCCAATGGGGAGGCGACGGCGCGGCCAGCTGGCCCCGCCCCGGCGGGCGAGAGGGGTGATGTCATTGCCCAGCGGGCGGCCGCGGGGGTGCCGCCGCCGCCGTTCATTGTGCTCGCCCGGTGCCGCCTCCCGTTGCCAGCGCCGGCCACGGCGGGGAGGGGGGGCCTGCTCCCGCCTCCCTTCCGGCCCCCCAGCACCTCCCCGGGGCGCACCCCGCCTCCCGCACTCATCCCTGAAGGCACCGAGCTCCGCTGCACCTATCCCGGGGCGGGAGGGAGCGGGGGGGGCTGTCCTGCCCCGGGGCTGGCTTGTCGCCCATCCCGGGGGACAGCGCTGCGCGGGGAGGGGGGTGCTCGGCATCCATCCGCGGGGGAGCGGGGCTGCCTCGCCCCCATCCCCGGGAGCTGCCCTGCACCGGGTGGGTGGCCAGCACCCATCCCCGGGGGAGCGGGGCTGCCTCGCACCCATCCCCGGGGGCGCCTGCACCGCCTCTCCCCGCGGCTGGGTGCGCGGGTGCGTAGGAGGGGGCTGCACCGCCCCCCCCAGCCCCCTTAGCCCCGTCGTGGGACCGCCAGCCTTCTCCCATCGCCGGTAACCGGCTCCTGGATCCCCGCCTCGTTTTATGGTCGTGGAGAGGGAGGAAAAATCCCAAACCAGGTGAGTTCTGCGCTGCTTCTATTTTTTTATTTATTATTTTTTTGGTGTGTGTGTGGTTTTGTGTAGTTCTCCCCCCCCCTTTTACCCTCCCTAAATCCCCCCCATCTCCCGATGCGCTTCCCCTCCCTGCCCCTTTCCCCGGCGGGGAGAAGCGGTGCCGAGCCGGGCTGCGCCGCTTTTTCCCGGTATTACCGAAAAACGGGGAGGTAAAGGGGGAGAAACCCAAACCCCAACCCAAGCCCCAACCCCCTTCAATTAGAGAAATACCCTCCGGTTGGTGCCTCCGCGTCCCGCAGCCTCCGGGAGCCTCCCGCAACTTTCGGGATGCTCCGGGTGCCCCGAAATAGCGCGGTCCCGAGCGGCGGACACCGGGGGAGGCGGGGGGGGGGGGGGGGGCCCGTTTATCTTCTGCACCGTATAACATTGGGGGGAAAATAATATGGGGTTTTTAATTGCTGTCCTTAAGCGTTGCTGAGCGCCTGCGAGACCTGGAATAAAAAAAAAAGAAATAATAAAATCAATCTTTTTAAAAGTCAGATAAGCGAAGTCTGTTCTAGGATAGGTTTTGGGGTGCTGCTGGGCTACGTCACATAGCTTCTGTGTTCTGACACCCCCGGTCCTCCCCTCCCCTTTCAGGGAAATGGGGGGAATTGACTCAAATTCCAGTCAAATTGGCGATTCCGGCTGCCTGCGCTTGGTCCAGGTTTCTCTTCCAAGTCATCTCATGAGTTGTGCATCCTAAAAATTGGGGGTTGGACAGCCTGGTGGTTTATTTTGACTTCCAAACTAGCGCTCTGGTCTTTGTCCCTTTTATCAGAAACACAAGAAGCGCATAGATTTTTAAACTTGTGAAAAACTTTTCTGGTTGGGCAGAGCTTTGTATTCGTGGGGCTTTTTCGTTTGTTTCCCTGCCCCTTGCTGTTTGCGAGGTGCAGTTCAGACCTTTACTGGGACCGGTGCTATGATGTTAGAGCAAGATAATTGATTTTTATTTTTTTTTTCTTTAGTGCCTGACATCAGGAGTTTTTTTTCCCCTTTTATGACTACGTTATCACTGCGATTGCTCGTGCACCCCAGACATCTCATTTTTGTGCTGGTGGCAGTGAAATGCGTGCGACGCAGAGGGGTCCTGCTCACATCCAAATCTGTCAACATCTTTCAGTGCCCTTTAAAGTTAATCCACTCCAGAGCCCGACTTGGAGGCTGTTCCGAGAGGAGGAAGAGAGTGTGCAGCCGAGTTGATATTTTATTTACCTATTTATTTATTTATTTTTCTTTCCCTCTGCTGCCTATTTTGCTGCTGCGCTTCTCTTGTGTAACTGGCACTGGGTGTCCTCTGGCAGAGGCTCTCCCTGGGATGGCAGCGCTGGGGGGGACGGGTGATATGAGCTCGGTGGGGACAATGAAACTCCCTGTTTTGGTCTGATCAAAGTGTTTGTAAACACCCAGGGGGGTGGTTGGGGTGTCCGTAGGCGATGCCCAGCGTTTTACAGCCACCCCTCTTCAAGTGGGATAAACACGCTGCATCCACACCTCCTCCTTCCATTTATTTCATCTGTGGGGTGGGTTTTTTTTTTTTCCTTCCTTCCTCTTTGTTACTGACTCAGAGAGGAAGGACAACACTGTGTGCAGGAGTTGCCTTTGTTTGGTTGGTCTTTTTATTTTTTTTTAACATTTATATTTCCTGGAATGGCATTTTTCCTCTTTTATTTTACAAGGGAGGGAACGGGTAACGTAACAGAGAGTTTCCCATCTTGGCTGTAAAAGGAGAAGTTTTATAGCAGTGACTTTGTGAGCTACGGAGAGAAGGGACTGGAAATGAAGTGATAATTTGAAAGTGTAGCCTGGGAATTGTTCTGGGAAATATTGATACAGAAGTTGAGGAGAACAAGCAAGGAATCCATGGCCAGGGATTTTGTGTTTAAATAATGCAATTTCTGTCGTATCCCGCTTTTTGATGCTGCCTTCGTCTTTATATGTCTTGATATTTGTGCTTGGTTTGTTATTTTTTCCAAATTTATTACATTTGTTAAATTTAAAAAGACTTGTGACGATGCGAGCAAGCATTTTCAAGCTGTATTATACTAAAGGAAGAAGTGGAGTAAAAATCAAACTATTATATTAATGAGATGAAATTCTGCCTTGCAGGAAGAGAAATATAGACACATAAAAATGGACCAAAAAGCTGCAAATCGCTCAATAGATGAGTGATTACTGTGAAAAAGCACAGATGAGCTAAGGGGCCCTTCCTCTTGAGTAATTTGTGTCCTGATCCTGCACAGAGCTAACCACAATGTATGGCTTTACTATGATTCAACAAGTCCCTGAGATGCCAGTTGCTAGAGGCACAGAGACTACCTCAGGAAGGCAGCACTAATTATTCTCTCTGGTCTTAATTTTTCTTTAAATTTTCCCCTGTCTGAAAGGGGATTCTGGGCTGGATGGTCTTGTGGTCATACCCCGTATGGTTTTCTTGTATATTAATCTTGTTCTTAAGCAAATTCAGTTTGATGGCATTGATTGGCTTCTTAGTAAAGCCAGAAATTGCATCTTTTTGAGTTGGCTTTATCAGCATCATCTATGTCCCCTGTGCTGCATTAAATTGTCCATCCCAGGACTGTTGTAGGAAGAGGTTCAAGCTGCCATGGGACCCTTGGGGTGTCTTCCAGCCTCATGTACAGGGGGACCCAAAGACTGGTGAAATAAGGGGAACTGGGAAGAGCCAGAGGTGGAACAGGCTTGCTGCCTCTTAAGTTTCACTTTCTTCTCTGCTCCAGAGCCAAGCTGTGAGAGGGCAATGATTTTTGTAGCCTGGAGTTGGGGTCTGGTGAAGCAACTGGAGTTTCTAAAGGGAGAGGTGGATGAATGAAGAAAGCTCTTCAGGGAGGAACTGAGCCAGCTGCAGGTGGTAGATGTTGCTCCCAGCTTGAGCTGGAGCATTGAGGCTCTCCAATGCAAACTGTAGAGCTCCTGGTTGTAGCTCTGGAGCTGTCCTCATTTGGTCTTTGCCATGATGGCCAAGCTGGCATCCATCCATTGGCAAATTGAGGCGCTTGCTCTAAGGTTTGTGATATGTCCCAGGCAGGTGTATCTGCAGCTGTTGTGTTTTTTTTTTGTGGGTGGCATTTTCATAAATATAGACAAACAAGAAATTATCATGGAATCATAGAATGGTTCAGGTTGGAAGGGACCTTAAAGACCATCCAGTTCCAACCCCTCTGCCATGGGCAGGGACACCTCCCACTAGAGCAGGTTGTTCAAAGCCCCATCCAGCCTGGCCTTGAACACTTCCAGGGATGGGGCATCCACAGCTTCTCTGGGCAACCTGTTCCAGTGTCTCACCACCTTCAATATGACAATAGCTGGGAATTATATCAGTTCCTTTTCTAATTTTAAAAGAGCATATTGCGTGGGGGATTTTTGGTTTTGGTTTTTTTTTTTTTTAGGGCAGGACCAGCAGTTTGAGAGCAAGCCTTGCTCTTGGCAAGCACAGGAAGAGGAATGGGGAATGTGCTAGGAGCTAGTTCATGCCAAATAACCACCCAGGCAATGCAAAAGTCTGAGAAATTCATTGCAGTAGTGTGGCTGGCACGGCAGGAGAGCAGAAGGTAGCACAGGGTGGGCACACCTTGCAGTCATGAGGCTGTTTGAACCAGGAGGCTCTCATGGATGCTCGCAAGATTTCAGAGCAGGAGATTCTGGAGACAATAAAGTCATCTTCTGTTTTACGGATGGATTTCCGACACCAAAAACATCAACCCTTGGGGCAGAGATGCTCAACAACAGCCCTGCTTTGGCTGGAGGACAGATGAGATGACCTAAGGCAATGTTTTGATTGACTCTCTAGTCTCTGTAATTTCATTTTGCAGCAAGTCATTTAGCTTCCTGCCCCCCCAGTGATTCTGTCAATAACTAACTAAATCCTCATTTTATTTTTAATGGCTCTCTTACAGCGAGGAAAGAACTGATCTGTCATGTTTGTCATATACCTGGTGCCTCTTGGTTAGCTGGTGCTTAAATCATGAGGTTCAGCTGGGGTGGCTGAGTCGAATATTCCTCAGGTGCTAATAAGTTGAAATAATTAGGGCAGAACAAGGATGAACTTGTCCCTTAAAATCATTGTCAGTATTTTAAGCAGAGCCAAGTCCAGGTTAAAGTCTGTTGCTGTTGCAGCAGTTTCATAACTAATCTGTGCCATTAAACGTTGGCCCTGCATAAGGTATTAGTGAGATTTGTGAGGTAGTGTCATTTGATTTCACCCTGCGTAGATAAAAATCATTAAGAGGGCTTTGTTGCATTGAGCTGGGGATAGATATTTAGGTTGCGAACAGCTTGAGACTTAATTGCTATTTGTCATCTCCCCTCGCCTGGAGTTACTGCTCTCCTTTCTGTGTGCAGAGGTGCACGCTTCCCCGGTGCACTTCAGGCAAAATTTAAACCCCTGTTTAAAACTAACCCAGCTATTGGTTTCCTGAGATAATTAGGGATTGCTTGTGCAAACAGAGCAGAAAACCTTCAGGAAGGGCTTGCTTTGCTCCATATAGATAGAGCCTCACGGAAATCTGCTGCTGTCCTGTTAAAGATCACAGGGTAGCTGTTTATTTTCTTTCCTTTTAGCCCAAATGCTTTCTTCTAAAGGTATTGCTGAACTAAAAGTTAACTGTAACCTTTAAGTATCTGAATAGTGTTTTCTTTTAGACCTTGAAAAGAGTAATGGGAAAGGGAAGAGGAAGAGGAGGAAAGGCAAGGCTGTGCTGGCATGAAAAGAGATGAGCTTGCACATGGTTTCTCAAAAGACTGTCCTGCAGGGTGAATTTAAAAGGGGGGGGTAAAAACCCAAAGGTGTTAGAGATGCCAATGTGTACCCAAGTCAAGCAGTGCTTGGGTGACTCTGTCCTGCTGAAGATGCTTTCTGTGGAGAGAGGGACTTAGTGTGGGACCGCAACAGTCCAACCCACCACTTCTCCTCCGCTGTGGACTTGCCAAAAACTAAACTCTGC